GCTCTGCCACTTGAGCCACAGCACCACTTCCAGCTTTTTTCTGAGTAGTTTATTGAGAGTCTCACAGACTTTCCTGCCCCAGCTGGCTTTGAACTGTGATCCTCAGATCTCAGCCTCCTGAGTAGCTGGCATTACTGGTGTGAGCCACCAGCGCCTGGCTTCCCTTTTCTTTTTATCTACTCTGTTCCTTCTTTAACTACTTTGCTCACTTCCAGGAAAGCCAAGTCTCACATCAGCCAGGCCCCGTAGGCACCATGGCAGAAAGTTCTCAGGGCCATTCCATTCCTGCAGCAATCAGTCTAGTCAGACTGGTGAGGCAGCTGGATCACTGAGGCAATCCTACTGGACTGAGACTGTGCAGACAGGAAGCAGAGAGCTCTGGAGAAGCAAAGAGGCCTGTGAGGGAAGACTGGAAGTCAGCAGGCAGCCAGGCCCAGCAGCTCAGATGCTAGTCCAACCCACATGCAGTCCCAGTGGAGCAGTCCATGCCAGCACAAGTGAGCCAAATCCTGAGCTCATTTTAATGGCTTCTGGCCCAAACCTGAGTCACTGGGGATTCCATGGACTTGTAAGTGAGGCCTACATGCATCCAAAAACAAACTGCTTGATGCTGTCATGGAAAACCTGGATCTTTGCATTCTACAGTTTCACTATGGATTACATCCAGGTCACAACCTAAGGAAGACAGCTGGCAAAAAAAAAAAGTAAAAATAAAAAAAATAGCCCTGCTGGCTGGTTACCCAGCTTTGGTAATGAATCCCAGGGGGATCTGAACCCATATGTGTTTCTGGCTCTGCCAAGTCCTCGACATGCCCCCACCTAGTGAAGACCATTCAGCCTGAGATTTATGTTGCCAGGGGAGTCTGAAAAGCCACCTGCAATTGGTTCAGTGTGGAAGCTGCTGCCAGAAAGAAAAGGAACAGAGGAGAGTGTCATGAAAGGGGGGTGGGAGGAAGACATTTTCCTTTTGATACTATTGTTATCTTCTGCTTTTTCAAAAAATGATATGAGTTCATATGGAAGTCCAGTCCTGTTCTGCGCCTGGTAGCCAGCACAGGCGGGCTCTCATGACTGAAGAGAACAAGGTCAGTTCTAAAGACTATGAAAAGCCGGGCATCGGTGGCTCACGCCTGTAATCCTAGCTACTCAGGAGGCTGAAATCTGAGGATCACGGTTCAAAGCCAGCTCGGGCAGGAAAGGCCATGAGACTTTTATCTCCAATAAACCACTAGAAAACTGGAAGTGCTGCTGTGGCTCAAGCAGTAGAGCACTCGCCTTGAGCTGAAGAGCCCAGGGACAGCCACCAAGCCCAGAGTTCAAGCCCCACAACCGATAAAAATAAATTCCTAAATAAATACTATGAAAGGTATCTTATTCCTTAGAAAGTAGCAATTCTGGGAAATGAAAAATATGCTAAAATTTGCTAAGAAGGCTTCTCTCTTCAAAATGCCATGGGGAATGAATTCTCATTTCACAAGTGATAAAGCCAAGGCCTTCAGGAGTGAAGTAAGTTGGTCAGTGTTTCACAGCTGCTTTATTTTCAGGACTGCTTTCTACTACAGTACTGAGCCATGTTCCAAGTCCTTTTGGGCTTTGGCTTGTTTTTAGAAAGTCTCTGGCAGCCTAGGACTATCTTCCTCTTCTTTCCACTTCCTTAGCAGCTGTGCCATTCCATGTTGTATACCACAACATCCAGCTCTACGCCTGCACTCTTTATTACTATTGAGTGTAACACTAAGGGTATCCAGTGCACAAGTAATTAGTGACCACTATTAGGCCAGGCCTTGAAGGCAAATCAAGTTAACCATCTTGTTAACTAGTAATTTGTTTTTGTTTGTTTTTCATTTTTTTTACATAACCCAGGAATGACTTTCCATTGAAGCAACATATTCTTTCCTATTTAACTGCTAAAATCAACATACCAAAATTTTAATTGATTTATACAATGAAGCCTATAAGCCAATAACCTATTTATTCCTTAAATCAGGTATAAGCAAGTAAGTTTTGCAATATCATGATTTTTCATTTAGTCAGATCTTTTTAAAAAAAAAAATCCTTTCTGCCAAAAGGAATCCTTGTGTTACTCTGGCAACAGGCTCCTTTTCCCCCATTTGTTTCAATGTGAACAGATGGGTTGGAGTAAAGACTGGGGCTGCTCACAGCTGCAAGTCCATGGCTAAGGCTGCACTGACCAGGTGCTACAGCAGCTGGGCAGAGAGGAAAGAAAGCAGCCAGTTGCTTCACACACCCTTTGGCCACTTTCTCAACCATCCATTCCAGGCCCAAAGCTGTAACTTACACTGATTTGAATGCTTGATATGAAAAAAACAGCCCACTGAGCCACTCAGCAGATCTGTCCCTCTGAACAAAGACGGCTCAATCCTTTCTCATGATCTCCTCTCCTAGGCCTGCAACTAGACAGGCTGCAGAGCAACAAAAACTACTTCTTCCTGGGTTTCAGGGCTTGGCCTCAGACCAGTGGCCCCTAGAGAGCAGAGTGACTAGACAGGAATTGCCTCCTGCCAATTTAAAGTTGTGAGTAATTTCAGAAATTATGAGATACAGACTAAGTCATAGGGGTGGAAAGAAAATTCAAGTTTCTTTAGAAAATTTTGGAAGAGGCAGATAAGCCCCTTGGGTGTCTCTTAACTTCCTTTTTTTCAAGTCTTTAATTTTTTTTTTAATCTTTAAGTAGTTGTGCAAAGGAGCTGCCATTTACTGAAGCCTTTTATGAATACAGTGCATCTTAATAAATGCCTAGAAGCCTTAGTCAGAGAAACTCACAGCAGTGTGTGAAAACCCAGGAAATACATTCTGAACGTTGTGCAAAATAAATGTTCTTGCCATTTACGTGAGACATCAAACACCACAATAGTTTGGTAAGCTAATGCTTGTCTTAGAGACGGAATTCAATGGACTAACCTTTTACTAAAAGCTTCATGTAGAATAGCCTTCAAGGCCAAAAGATGCTTCCACTTCACTTCTAAACTGCAAAGAACAGGTTTTTGTTTTTGTTTTTGCTGAAGGGAGTCTCCCATTTCTCACTGCTAGAGGACAAATCAGGAGTCTTGCCTGCATACTAGCCAACTAATAAACCCACATGACAGGATGAAACTAGGGAGGATTTTAAATTCAACAAGGTAGACAAAGTTAGATCGTCCTCTCAAGTCAACCAGAGCTCTTCAATAGGATGAATAAATTGTGTGTGCTGGCTTCACTTTATCTGTGTGTTTATTTTAACTTTTCAGAAGACTCTGGAAACACTTCACAAAGGTCTTAAGATAGGCACCTGAGGCACTGTCTGAGAGGTGAAATGTTGCGCCTGACACTTTTCACATTACAGAAGTGAACCAAAAGGGGACAGACAATAAGCTTCACTGGACCAAAAGTCAAAATTTTTAAAGTCATATTTTCCAATTTCTTTCTTTTTCAGAAGAGGAATGCTAAGGTCTAGAGAGGTGGTGTTTATCTGGTCTCCCAGATTCCCAGAGTGCCTCAGACTGCCAGAGTCATTCATGTACACTAATCCTGGCAGATAAATGAGGGTCCTGTGCCTGTACTTAGCTACTACTAAGATGGCTGAGATCTGAGGATGGAGGTTTGAAGCCAGCCTGAGCAGAAAATTCCATGGACTCTTATCTCCACTAAGCCACCAAAAAAAACCCAAAAAAACTGGAAGTGGAGATGTGGCTACAGTGGTAAAAGTACCAAGCATAAAAAAAAAAAAGTCATTTTGAAACAATTAAGTTTATAGACCCTGGGTGTCTAAATGTACATTGGCCCAGGCCAATCAAAGACTGAGGATCCTGGGGCTCTTGGCCTACTCCCCACCTCCTCCCCACAAAAACATATCACAGTAGGCCCCTAAGGCTTGAGGAAGGGAGAACTTTATCTTATCAGCTGTTTGAAAAACTCTTGTCATTTGATCTGTTTATTTGGAAGCTAGCCCTGCTGAGCTCAAGCTTCAACTATGAGGCAGACTAGAGTTCATTCATTTGGGGTCTGTTTCTCAGGAGCCCCTGCTGAAGAACCCCCTGCCTTGGGCTTTCTAATGGCTGAATCACTTGGGCCCCTCAGTAGGGCTGTGATGGATTCCTGCTCCTCCTACTAGACAGAGTTGAGCTTCATAAAGAGGTTGGTTAGAAAGTAAACACTTGCACCCCCCCCCTCCACCACCCGAAAATCACACTTAAGTCTGTAAGTCTGTCCCTTCTACTTACATGGGATGTCACCTAATGCAGCCACACAAAAAGATCCCCTGGAGCCCAAACAGTCTGCTGCTGTCCCCATCCACCTTCAGCCCTCTGGGGAGGGCTGGGGGTAGAGGCCCTTTTCCAGCAGTGCACAGCTTTCCCTGGGGTCACTGGAAAGAGCTCTAACTTTTCTTTCCACCCATTTCCAATAGGCTCCTTGGTAAGAAGCTCCCAGAAAGTGGAAGTTTGCTTGCATTTTCCGATTTGAGTGTATAAAACACGGTCAGGCTCCAAGGAGACAATTTACGTGAGAACATCACTGAACACAAAGCATCTGATACAAATTCCTTCCAAGCCTGCATGGTCTTCCCAGGCCCAGAGCAGAAATCGTGCAGGCGTGGGGTGGGGGGAGAGAAGGTCTTCACTGCCCACCCCCCAACAAGGTGCTTACACAGTTTGGGGCGCTTGCTGCAGGTGAGACCTCGCTCACCAAATTCTCCTGGGAGAATTTGAATTGAACCCGCAAAGCAAACGTAGGATTCCAACAACCCTGAACAACTCAGACCCTCAGGAAACACAAGGAAGGAGGAGCGCCACTGGCAGGCCTGAGAGGACCAGGTCTTAGCGCAGGTGACAGACACACGGAAAGGGACCCGTGTCACCCACCACACAGGCCAGGAACCGACTATCAGCAAGGAAACCTCATCCCAGCGCTCAGGGAGCCGCGGGCAGCGAGTGGGAATCCACAAGTGGCAGGCTGCCGCAGCTGGCCGGGCTCCGCGCGCCTTCCCGCCGGTCCGCGCTTACCTGCGATTCCTTGCAGGAGCCCGCAGACGTTGAAGATACTCTTCTTCATGATGCTCTGCACACACATGGTGAAGACCGACACCAGGGCCACCACGCAGAGAATGGAGATCCCCACGGCCAGGAAGATCGCGGTGGCTTGCCAGAAGCCGCTGGCGATCTCGCCGAAGCTCTCGGCGTAGGGCCCGCACAGCGTGTCCCGCGGGAGGTGCTGCACGCCCGGGTTGCGGATGCAGCGGGCGTAGATGCCCAGGGTCGGGTGGTAGGGCTCAGAGGGGCCGGCGCCCGTGGGCTCCGCGCCGCTGCGGCTCTTGGCTCTCCCGATCAGCCAGTCTGCGCTCATGAAGGCGATGAGCTCCGCAAAAGCCACCACGATACTCATGAGGGTCCAGAGCATGGAGCGGCAGGTGACAATGACATGACACATATTGGTGCTCGCGGGGGGAGATGCGGCAGGGGTCCAGGGGTCAGTGTTTGGTGTGCTTTTTTTCTTTTTAAGCCAGCCGGTGGGGGCGCGGGAGGCAGCCCAGGCGGCTCGGGAAGGGGCGGCAGGCAGCGGGGGTCCTCGATCGTTCACCCCGGGGGACCGGCAGCATTCCTGCTGAGCGACACCGAAACTCCCCGGCCCGCGCGGCCTCCTCACCTAGGGCAGAGCAGAGAGCAGGGCGTGAGCGGCTCCCAGGCCCCGCCTCCCGGCCCGCCCCCCAGCCGGGCTCCCCGCCCGCCGGCCTGCCCCGGGACGGGAGGGGGGGGAAGCCCGCCCCCGCCACCTTCCTGCCCCCCCCTCACCCCCCCCCCCCCCCCCGGCCACCTTCCCGCCCCCGGCTCTCACCCTCCCCGGCTCCGGCCCCGCCCGCACCGCCGATCTGTCTGGCAGGGAGGGGTGAGGGGTCCTGGTAGGGGCGGGGTGCACGCACACACCCAGGTCTCAGCCAGCCTGCAGGGGGGAAGCGGGGCGGTCTGCGGGCATGTGCTGGGTGTCTTTCTTTCCAGGTCTCCCCATCTACAAGCTCACAACTGCGGGTGACTTGATCTGGGGCAGCAGGGCAGGAAGAGAAAGGCGGGGCCTGCACGCAGCGCAGGGTCACCCGCCACTGGGCACACTGCCCTGGCAGCCAGGGCTGGGGAAACTCCTGCTCCCTAGTCTCGTATTAAAGGCAAACAACACAGGGAGATCCAGGTAGATCTGGGCATGACTGGCAGGGGACTACAGCCAACGGCTGGCTGCCTTTCTACAGCTTGCAGGACTCCAACCACTGCTGAGGATCAGACCGGCTCTCATACACGCTCACCAACTGACAACTGCTCGGAAGATAATTTTTTCAAGGAAGATTTTTTTTAAAGCCTCTCACCAAAACCTTTTGCTCAACAGTAGAGCAAGGGCGGACGCCTGCCTGCAAATCAAATTACTAGGCAGAGACATGAGAGTATTTGCTTTCTAGGTGAAAGAGTCTATGAAAAAGAAACAAAACCCCACTGCCCAAACTTTATGTCTCACATTTTGGGGGGACACAATGATTTATATAATAATTTACACTAATTAAGAAGGAAAACTTTCAAAGAAGAGTTCATGACTTTTTTGGGGAAAAATCACTTAAAATGAGGCATTAACAACCACCAAGTGTCACTACAACTGAGTCCCCTTGTTGACAACAGAAAGTTGTTCCAGAAGAATGCGTCTCTTAAATTGGTCCCACTTCATCACATGTGCCTCTGCCTGAACGTCAGTTCACCCCAGGTCTGCAACTCAACATGCCCATTGTTTCTGATTTCACAGAGGACTCATTCTGTTCCCAAGGACAAATGACTTCATTACCAGAGGACTTTGCCCCAGTGGTTCAACCCTCCTTCAGAGCCTGAACCCTGAATCAAGGGCTGGCAGTGCGGGTGTGCAGTCTCATTTTCTACTCCCTCTCTAAGGTCAGGCAAGATCAAGCAGCTCACATATGACATCTGGGCATACGGCCCTGTTCTGAATGACTCCATCTCATTAACCCAGGTCATGTCAACTCCATGAGAGCCACAAAGAGCCCACTAGGCACATGAGCTAAGGTGGGGTGAAGACTTAGGGAAGAGAGAGAAGCAGAAAAATAAGGAAACGTGGTGTCAAAACTTAAGCGGTCCCCACTCCTATACCACCCACCAGCTGCCTGTAGAGGGACATCCTAGTGAATGCTGATCAATCACTCGTGCAACATGATGCACTTAAAACTCCTTATATCACTGTTCTTATGCAAGATGCTATTTTGAGGACAGGGCAGGATAACACTGGGGACATATGCACGTAATTGTCAGGGTGTGTATGTGTGAAACAGGGCTGTGCTGAGCCCTGGGTAAGGGAAAGGAGGTATGTTCCACTGAGAAAGATTTAGAGTCTGGGTTCCAAAGCCAGCTCCACTCTGCCTCATAAATGACCTCATCTACCACCTACAGTGCACTCCACCTCCCAAGATTGGAGGAACAGAGATGATCTCTTAAAACACTCATGTTCTCATCAATAAGCATCAGCTCCAACTCTGATGAGTTCCCCCTAACATTAATGTCTCTGTCCAGATGAGAACAAAACCAGTAGTGGTGTCTGACTCACCTAATGAAATAGGTTGTTAGCATTAAGGTAGAATGCATGTCCTCCTTCATTCCCACCCACCTCCCAAACATTACCACATGGAAAAGACTTTGAGTAAATCACTACATGAGATCCAGCTTAGGTAAGACTGAAAATGATTGTTCTTGGAGAGAATAAGAAAATGAGCCAGGATGACTTTCTGAAGGCATTGAGAGGCTCAGGGACTTTTTGAACTAACAACAAGAAGAAGCCCAAAGCCTCCCCCTGTTGTTATGAAAATAATTTGCTATTATGCCCACCCAGCCTCTGTCCCTCTTCAACGGAAGGTGGGTTTTCAAGGAGAATATACATTACACAGTTGATCACTTGCTGAACTTCAAGGTTCTGCTACAACCTCTTAGATCACTTGTGTCTTACTGGCCATCATTCTGAGTATGAGTGCAATTTCCAAAGAAAAGGTTATGCACTTTCAAAAGCAGGGAAGATGAGGCCTATAGGCTTAGCAAATGGTCCATGCCAAATTTAAGGCAGGATTACTTAAAATATAGCTCTCTCTCTTGTTTGTGTGCACAAACAATTTCCATCCAAATTCCCAGGTCAACACAACCAGGGCTGGGATGAGGCCTCCATTCTGGCCAGGAGATAAGAAGCTTTGGTTCCCCTGACAAGTTTGCTGAGTGTTGCTATCAGAGGACCAGCACGCTATGTACAGCCACGGAAGTGAAACTGGAGCTTTTTGGAGCTTTCCAGGGCTCTAAGCAAAGACCATAGGGTGGACAAGGGGAAATCTGGAAAGGCAGCAGGCTGTGCTCCCTGGAAAGGCAGGTGCTTCTTGAGGCAATGTCCCTACAAAGGAGAACTAGATCTTCATTATAGATCCTTGTTAACCACAGGGACACAGGACACAGTGGCTCCTCAGACAGGGCACTTAGTACCATCACTGTAATTCCTGGTCCCACAAAGCTCCCATGAAACCAGACCCCCACTGCCACTTCAGTGCAAGCCTTCTCACTACACTCCCCTGAGGACATGACTTTGTTATCACATCCCTGATAGTTTGGGTAATGTGGTCAGTCTCCAACTTTGAGAAAATAATACTGTAAATGTGACAAAGAAACACAATGTAAAGCAAATAATCTACCAAAGAAAAAGACAAAGAGAATCACACGAACAGTATGTGAGAACAGAGAGCACAGAGGATTTGTAAGCCACATATGCTGAATATTTCTTCATAAAACTCTAATTATACAAGAAGGATAGGAGAGCTGAGCAGCGCAGAGACTTGGTTTGCACCCTAAGTCACAGGGCTCCATCTTTTACATCTTCCAACAGTCAGTTAAGGAGTAAAAGGGTATAGGAAGCCAGAACTAACCTGTGCCTACTGACCAGATTTTCCTAGATTATTGGAAAAGACACAGGAGTAAAGTTCATCTCTACCTAGAAGGCACAGGGAAACAGGAAGGGCAGCAGTTAATGCTGGATCACATAGTACACCCACTCAGCACCACAGAGGAGACCTAGTACACCCACTCAGCACCACAGAGGAGACCTGGACAAGAATGCACCTTGCTACCTTGCTTACTTACTTTAGATCTGTTCGACACCCTTACTATTAAAATTACAAACAGATATAAGTTGCCATGAATTGACAGTGAGCACCTATAATATAACATCCAACACCACAGTTGTTAACACAGTCAGGAGACCGGTTCTACTGATCTAGAGCCTACACATAATTTTTTGTGAGCCACTTGAAAATGAGATGTCTTAATACTTCATCCCTAAGTGTTTTAGCATATACCTCCTAAAAATGCTGTTTTCTACAATACAGTGAACAACCCAAGAAAAGTGACAAGAATCCTCTTATAGCCAGTGCTGGGCTCAAATTTCCCAATTTCCACTTTTTTTTTTCTTTTTTGAGGTAACACTGGGGTTGAACTCAGAGCATCAGAGCGTCAAACTAGGCAGACACTCTACCAAAGCTATGCCTCCCCCACCCCACCTTTTTGTGCTTGTTATTTTTGAGAAGGTCTTGTTTTCTGCTCAGACATGTGCAGGATCTACTTAATTTAGACTTCTATATTAGTCAGGATGCCAGATGTGTGCCCCTGAGCTCAGCTTTCAGTTGAGAAGTTTTCTACCCAAGCTGGCCTTAAACTGCAAACCTTCAATCTAAACTTCCCAAGTAACCAACATTATGGATGTGTATGTGTGTGTGTGCATGTGTGTATCCTGGGGTTTGAACTCAGGGCCTGGGAACTGTCCTTAAGTTTGTGTTTTTGTTTTTTATTTTTTTGGCTTAAGGCTAGTGGGATACCACTTTCAGCTTTTTGGTAGTTAACTGGAGTCTCAAGGGCTTTCCTGCCCAGGCTAGCTTTAAACTTTGATCCTTACAGGCATGAATCATTGGTGACTGGCTCTGCCCATTTTATAGTCATCTTTTCTTAAAATTGTGACTAAGTTAAAGCTCATGCATTATATTTGGTTAGTCTTCTTCACTAGCTTCTCCACCAAACCCAACCTTCTCAGAAGATAGTAAGCCTGTTCTCTTATAGAACATTTAAAAATCTGGATTTGTCTATTTCCTTGTGATGTCATTTAAGCTTGTTCTCTATCAAGTGCTTCACAGTAATGGGAAATTACACAAAAGGAGAATTTGGTTAAAATATTCAGCTAAAACATTATTGGTAAAAATCTTGTGTAGGTAATGCTGTTATACCTCAGGAAGAGAACAACTTCATGCATTATACATGCCTCCCTCTCTCTCTCTCTCTTTCTCCCTCCCTCCCCCTATTTTCCTCCTCCATGGCTAGTTAACTCCTGGCCCAAAAAGTCAGAATGGTTGAATGGGAGGCTGATCTGAGCAGCCTCTGCAGATTTGAATCCCATAGTGAGCTCTGATATCATGGCTGAGAAACTGTTTTTGTTTTGTTTTGAATTTTGGCGCTGGTCCTGAGGCTTGAATTCAGGTCCTGGGTGCTCTCCTTGAGCTACTTTTGCTCAGGCTAATACTCTATAACTTGAGCCACAGTTCCGCTTCTGTTTTTTTTTGGTAGATTAGTGGAGAGAAAGAATCT